TTCTTTCTTTCTTTCTTTCTTTCTTTCTTTCTTTCTTTCTTTCTTTCTTTCTTTCTTTCTTTCTTTCTTTCTTTCTTTCTTTCTTTCGACAGAGTCTCACTCTGTTGCCCGGGCTAGAGTGCCTAGCTCACAGCAACTTCAAACTCCTGGGCTCAAGCCATTCTCCTTCCTTAGTCTCCCAAGTAGCTGGGACTACAGGTGCCCACCTGACTAATTTTTCTATTTTCAGTAGAGGTGGGTCTCACTCTTGCTTAGGTTGGTCTCAAACTCCTGAGCTCAATCAATCCTCCTGACTCAGCCTCCCAGAGTGCTAGGATGACAGGTGCGAGCCATTGCGCCCGACCTGTGACGACTTGCTTTCTAACTGAAGAGAAACCAGTGTCTTTAGCTGGTGAGGGCCAATTCCTGAAAACATAAACTTGAAGTAGGAGGAAGAGCAAAGGAGAGCAAGAGACTGATCTTCCTCTCTCTCTCCTGCATGAAGTGTGTTCGGGGCTGGAAGATAGCGTACAGGTGGTCTCATTCCCAGCGATGTCTTATTTGGCATCCGGAGGGGCAATGAAGGTGGGCTGAGAGCGCTGGCGTTTGCTGGGGCCCTTCTGTGATGCGGTACGTTTTACCAGCTCATGCGGCGTTTTCATGCACACTGTTTCATCTGCTCACCCCATTTCCAAGTGAGGAAAAGGAGTCAAGACAGGTGAAATGACTTGTTCACAGTCAAAAGGTAGAAATAGAGATGGGGACTTCCAGGAAGCCCAGGCCTGGGACTCCCAGCACACTGCTGTTCCCACAGCCCCACTTTTAAGATCCTTCTAGGTCGTCTTCTACCGTGGACTCCAGGGTGGGGTTGGTGAAGGTCAGGTTCAGCAAGCACAGGGGATGCCAGGAAAAGGTCAGGGTGGGGTTGGGAAGGTCTCCATTGGGAATGCCTGTGAGCTCCGTGTGGCCCAGTTTTTCTCTTTTCTCCAAACTCTCTACAGACTTCACTCTCTTTCTTCACCAGACATTGTATGGGTTCCCTGTGAAAACAGTTCTTTTGTAATGTGACCCCAAACTCTTACACTTTACCCTCCCCAAGTGTGCAAAGTTAACTGCTCTGGAAATATAATGTTTGCTATCTAAACTTTATCTCTGCATAAGCCCCATCACGGATCCATGAGGGGAGCAAAATCATTTCTTGGTCTGCCATAGGGGGCTGAGTTTCTGCATTAATTCTGGAAAGTGGACGGCTTGCGACTTGTTATATCCAGAGATTAAAAATAGCTGTTTTCCTTTACATCCGATGAAGAAAGCATGTGTTTTGATCTGGGCTTTAAATGCTGCAGCAAAATTTCTGCCGCAGAACGTCCACGTCCACTTGTTGAAATTTAGGTATCTGGGCTGTGTGTCATGGGAGATGGGAGGTCAGGCCCTGCGCTGGGTGAGGAGGTGACAGCAGCAGGACAGGGACCTTACTTTTCATTCAATTACTTTCTCCTAGAGGTTTTACTCTTTTCAAAAAAAGCCTGTTGTAAAACCAGTGATAAATTGTTATGCAAATATTTATAACGCTTGCTCATTTTGCTCTTAAGCGATACTTGGTATGTGTGGGTTTTAATGTCTTTCCTGTGTGTCAGATTGTACGTGGGTGTCCTTGTTTGCCAATTCAGGCAGCTCCTTCTTCTGGCCATCCATCACTGCCCCCTCTGTCTCTGCTCTTTATGACGACCATTAATACTGTTATGACACAGGGACTGAGTTAGGGTGGCTGTGCGGGGACAAGAAGTCCTCGCCCTGATTCTCAGCTTCTGATTAATGGGGGCCACGAGCCTCCCAACCCTACAGACTTCCATGAGCTGAACCCTTTTCGTTAGGAAAGATAACACTGGATTTAGCTCAAGGAATGGAGACCAGAGTGAAAAAGAAAAATGATTTTTAAAGATAAATTAGTACACCACTGCTACACTTATTCAAGTCCGTTTTTGGATGGCTTTTGGCACACAGACACCAAATACTTTTGTAGGCCCTGCCTTTTGGGGTGATCCCCTCCCCCCGTCATTGCCAGATTGAACTGAAGCTTGTGAATCACATTGCTCTAGATGACAGGATGTTTCACGATGATTGATATTGTGGGACCAGAAAAAGTTCCAATGTGAGAGTCCCCAGGGAGAGGGCAGAGGGACGGGGAACGGGGAACCAAAGCAGTGTCATCTCATGCCCAGAAAACACAACAGCGGATGCTATGCAGCCCGATTCTTCCAAATGAGGATAAATGCTCTGCGTCTCGGCAGGAGTCAGGGAGAAGACATCAGTCTAAGGCTGTCAGAGAAGCACCCCAGGGCCCTACACTTGTCTATATAAGGGGCTCGGATGGGTTGATGAAGCAGAAATGAATGGAATTTTGCAAGGGGCCAAGGTGGGCAGGCCAAGATCTAAGACCATGCAGATAGGGCAGCAGGTCTGTCTCACTGTGGCACTGGAGGCTCGGGCAGGCAGTGGGAGCGGGGCTGCGGGAGGCCTGAATTCAAATGCCTGTTAGCAGGGAGTGCCTGGCTGCACTCTCATGCCAAGTCAGTGCCACATCCTCTCCTGTTCTCTGCCTTTCTTAGACAGGATAGAGGACAGCTGCCTGAGCTACCTGGAGGCTCTTTGGTACCCATCTTCTGATCTAGAGCAGACAGCATTGAAATACCCTTAACTCACCGATAGCTGGGCTGTGAGTCCTGGCATAACCACAGGGCTCCCAACGGGTCCTCAAAAACCCGGTTCTCAGGATTGGGCCCTGCCATTGGTGCTTGCTCCCATCTTGTTCTGTCTCACCAACCTTGAGTCTAGGGTCTGTCTCAGGTCATGACCGGCTCTGTTTTCTTGGGTGTAGACGTCTCTAGGGTGACATGTGCCTGCCTGACTCGAGATGGCTGCTATCCTGGGGTTCTCCTCTGCTATACTCTGTAACTTGAACTAGTATCTTACAGCAACATTTCAGAAACCCCAGGGTCATCCACCTGAGTCTTCGTGGGTCAGTCTTCTGATGTTCCCAAGTCCCTGTGGACCTGTTCTCTGACCCCTGTCTACAACTCATGGTTGGATCTTATCACTCATTCTACTCTGCTCCCTTCTCTCTGCCTGCTCAGGAGGGGGCACAAGCCTTGGGGGCTGCAGCACTGCCATGGGGCCACTGAATGACAGGCTGTTCCTGCCATCCAGAAGTTTCTATCCAGTAGAGAGGACAGGACTTATACAAGCACGGTGTATACAAGGTGTGCTTTAAAGTACTTTAAATAGATGTAGATATTAAAACAACAGAAAGATCACAATCAAGTATAGAATTAGTTGCTGAATATAGTTTATGGACGATTGCTGTAAGAATGTGGAGAAGGACTGGGATGATCTGGAAGGGCTGAACACGAACTTCTGATCTGGGGAAAGAATTCTGGAGAGAGCGAAAGAAGAGTTCTTAAAGGTCCCCCACAAATTCCTATACTGAAGCTCTAATCCCCAGTACCTTACAATGTGACTTTATTTGGAGATGGGGCCTTTGAAGAGATGACTAAGGTTAAATAAGGCTATGAGGGTGGGCCCTAATCTATATGACGGGGGTCCTTATAGGAAGAGGTCAGGACAAAGACAGGCACAGAGGAAGGTCATGTGATGACCCAAGGAGAAGACAGACGTCCATAAGGAAAGGAGAGAGACCTTGGAAGAAGCAACCAGCCAACACCTTCATCTTGGACTTCCAGCCTCTCAATTGTAAATTTCGACTGTTGAAGCTTCTCAGTCTGGGAGAATGAACCAAGCTTAGGCAAAAGAGGCTTTGGCTAAATCCATTTCTGCATAGTAACACCATTTCTATTCTAGTCGGGCAATTTCAGACTTAAAGAAAAAACAGGTAAAGGAAAAGACACGAAGAAGGAGGAAAAGAAGGAGGGGAGGAAAAGGAAGAGGAGAGGAAACTCAACTTTCATTTGTTTTTTGGAAGGTGCCTGTCTCCTCTAGCACCCCTTTTTGTACCCTTGACTCTTCTTGGAGAGCCCCAAGCAGGCCCTCAAAGGCCCACAACTTCCTAAGGAGTCAGATGTGGCCTCCAAAGCCCCTGGGGGCCTCCGAGGACCTCCACTTCAGCTGGCTCCAAAAGTCTGGCAGGAATTGTAGGTTGGCTTTGGTCAAGTGGCCTCCATCTGTCGTTGCCACCCTCAGAGGCAGCCAGATTGTTCTGGGGGAGGCAAAATGCTGAAAACCCCAATGGCCTTTCCTGGGCTCCTGCTGCCTGTTCTACAGGGGACAACAGTGGAGGGACAGTGGGCACCCCCTGCTTCTCTGATACCTGCTTAGGTAATTACAATGGTGCGTGGAGTAGGCCCTAACCCTGAATATAAACTTGCCACTTTAACAACTCATTCAGCCTGCGAACATTAATTTAGCCAAATGGAGATGTGTCCATGGCATATTTAAAAAACGATGCTTGTATGTTGAACACCAGAAACCATTGCTTAGCCCTGTCCTCTGTACTACACTGTCACAGAGAGGTGGCACAGGTCACGAATGGCAAAGTAGGGCCCATGGGCAAAATGTGACCTGCAGCCTCTGTCTCCTCTCCTTTCTTTTCCCCTTTCTTTCCTTTTTTGAGCTAAGAATGATTTCTACATCTTTTAGAGGGTTGCCTTCTTCCTCCCAATAAAGAAAAAAAAATAGAAAGAAGAAGAAGAAGAAAAAGACATGGCAGAGGCCGTTTAGTTCACAATGCCTAAAATATTTACTCTCTACCCATTTACAGAAAAGGTTTACAAACTCCTCATGTACATTACAGACACTTATTTTTTGGTTCATCTGCGACTATCCCTCCTTCCCTAGGTATGACAATTGCTCTTGGAAAAATGCCTTCTTGACTTTTTAACAGAGGAGCTTGCAACCCATTCAGCTTGGAAGCTGGAGACTGACCGTCTATGCCTCTCTGTACTTTTTGTGCCAAGTCCAGTGCTGGGCGCAGAAGTCACTTGCTGCTGGTGACCATCAGTGACCCACAGGCTGACCAGGAAAGGAGTATTCCCAAAGCTCCCTTTGGACCTCTGTGTTCTGAGGATGTTAAGGTGGGATGATCATTACTGGCTGGGCCTTACATGTCACCCTGTGGAGCCAACCCAGAGCCTCCTGCCCTGCCTGTTCGCTTGACGCTGCTCTTGCCTCTCTAGGGAGAAAGAACAGGATCACGTGTGCTACTCTCTCAGCCAATGAAAGATGCGATGACACTTGGCCCCCAGAATGGTGCTGCATTGCCCCGCCTCTGGCAGAGCTGCGGCCGAAGAGAAGGTACAGATGGAGCGGGAATTATCGCTCAGAGATGAATAAGTGAGACGCAAAAGTCACAGTGTAGAGAAATGCAGTGGACCTTGGGGACATCGAGGTGTCCTGGATGAAGCAGGTGGAGGCTGGATATGAGGAAATTGAAAGAACTTCTTAAACCTCCCCCTGCCCCAATCTCTTCTTTCTCTTTCTACTGCCCAAGAGTGACATGGGCCAGACAAGTCAGGTGACAAGTGTGGAAATATTGAAATGGCCCTGGCGCTTCTGTCTGAGCCTCTTCTCGACCACATTTGCATACACCCTCTATATATTCAGGTATCTGAATGGGCCAGTCCTTCATTCCTTTTTTCTTCAAATACGGTATAAATGTGCTCTTAGATGCCCTACTTAATTAAGTCTATATTTTTCATACTTTAGCAATAATCACTTCCAGCTTATCACATGGCTCCGCTGAATATGATACGGAGGAAAAAAGAAATGAAGTAACAGCTCCTGAGCCACAGGAGAAGGAAAGGCAATTACCCTGCCTTTTGAAATGAGTGAGCGGCTTTGGGGACGTTCTCTGCTTATCGGTTGCTGCAAGGTGCTGGTAACCACAGCTGCCTCCCTCTCCTGAGCACTTCCCCCTCCCTAAACCCTATAACCTTCCCTTTAGGTGGGAGAACCAGTAATCCGAGCTGCAGTAGCAAAGCAGAAGTGATGTTTTCCTGTGTAGAGCAGGGGGCCCCTCCTCAGCCCCACCCCTGTGGCATTTGGGACCGGGGTGTGTGAATGAGCAACTCCCCATGGGAGCATCGGCAAGGCGCCGGGGTCCTCTGCTGAAATCCTAACTTGTTTTTGGTGGTCCGGCCACACAATGGTCATCTCCACTCACTCCTGTCGCAGGGACTCTGGCGGGCCAGGGGGACACAGCTGCCATTGCTTTCTGAAGATCGTAGACCCCACCGCAGCCTGGCTCAGCCCTGCTCTCAGCACAGTCTGCGGACACGAAGCGGGTGCAAGCAGTGGTCCAAACGGGCTCGACCGGAGCTGTGTGCAGGTGGTTTCATGGTTAAAAGTCCTGGTAGTGTAAAAAGAGATCAGAGTAACCAGCGAGCAGACCTCTGATGTCTCCATATTTGCTGCCTCTGTCTTCTCTCTAGTCTGGTTTCTCTTGGAGAATGTACCTTCCATCTGCCTCGGCTCCCTTTGCTGACGAGGGGAGCTCTTTCCTTAATTATTTAGTTAACACATATTCATATGCAGAGGCAGCTTCTTTTTTGAGGAGAGCCAGCTCCAGAAGCAATTGAGAAGGTTTATTAAGTTGTGATTAATGAGCAATGATCAAAGAGTGGTCAATTACCTGCCCAAGTACATAGATCCTAAAAGGTTCTCACTCCCAGGCCATAACCATGAAACCTTCCTGGTCAGAAGGTTGTGTCCTGGTGCACGTGGAGGGGGGTTGGGGCAGGCACTCAGGACACACAGCTTGCACTTGTGAAAGTGCCACAGCTGCCAACTGACATCTCATTTTCAGACTGCCTGGGTCTCCAGCTACCCAGAGGGCAGAATTCTGAACACTTTCCCCACAGTGACATTCTTAAGGTTCACATGCTTCACATACTCTCTGCAACTCCTGGTGAAATACCTAGAATCCATTCCCCTCTCTCTCTCAAAAGGGTGAGGGATGCTGTATTTATCCTCATTCATTTCTAACAGGGATGTACTTCCTAAAAGCGTCTGTGTTAACGGGAGTTGGTGATCAACAACTTCCATACGCCATCCAGCGTATTTCGTATCCTCAATTGCCTTTTGCTGTTCTTGACCGATGCAGCCTCTTGTGCGTTCCCTTATATGCCCATCTTCCCCCAACTTGCAAAATTTGTCCCTTTTGGAAGGTCTTAATAACATCCGTTATCCCCTAAAAAAATTGGTGCGGTGTGAGGGTTAGAATTGCAGGCACCAAACCCTTGCACAGATGACCTGCTCTTGAGTTGGGCTGGGTTGGGGATATGACAGCATCTTTGCCAAGGTTAACTTGTAGACAGAGCCCAAGGAAATAAAACATGAAAGGGTCTGGTATCCTCGGCATACCCATCCAAACTAGAGGACTTTTATCGCTACTCTTTATGAGGCAAGGGGGCTATGGAAAGTGCAAAGGCTTAGAGTTAGGGAGACCCAGGTTTGAATCACAATTCCTGCGTGGTTTGGGGCAAGTCCTTAACCTCTCTCAACCATCAGATTTTTTTTTGCAATTTTTGGCCAGGGCCGGGTTTGAACACATCACCTCCGGTATATGGGGCTGGTGCCCTACTCTTTGAGCCACAGGCGCCGCTCTCAACCACCAGATTTTCATCTCTAAAGTAGGAGTGGCAGAATTGCTATGAGATTTAAAAGTAATGGGTGCAAAATGCCCTGCAGATAGTTGCCTGGCACGCAGAAAAGTCTTAAGAGAATATTTATTCCCCCAAATGCGACTGGCTGCTGTAGATGGGCTAATCTAAGTGGGGATGGGAGAGTTAAAAGGCTGACTATCTTGGAGAGTGTTAGATATTCTGAGTGACTACAAGCAAAAGCAGTCTTGGGTGAGACCGGAGGGAGGCAAAGAGAAAAAAACAGTGATCAGAAAAATGCTTTTCTGAAATCCTTGCCAACAGTCCAGGAAAATCTTTGAATAATCAGAGTCAAAGTCTCTCTTAATACATGCGATCTGAATTGCAGAATAAACTCAGATTTCGCCTCTCCCGTACTGTTCCCGTTAATTTTTATGGTGTTTAGACAAGCCCAAAGCAAGTGCTTTTAATAACACGTTAGAGAAGACATTTTAACTACTGCCACTCTGGGTAAATTCCTCAAACTCCAAATAGAAGCTGTAAACACATGAGTATAAATATGACAATCATTTGTTTAGCTGCAGCAATTTTAGATCCTTTTTGGCACGCTTCAAGGTACAGAGATGTTTGTGGCTGAGTCAAAAGTAACTCAACTCTCACATTGTTCATCCCACATTGACTAAGTTTCGGGCGATAAATATCAACTTGGAGAACTGTCACGTTTGTACCCAATAATTGAGCTATGGGAAACGGAAAAATAAAGTTCAAAGTTTGCCTCCCTGGAGAGAGGGGGCTGGAGAAGAGGACAGCGGGCAATTATTTACGGATAGTTTTACACAGATACAATTGTCACGGTTTTTATCGGGTGACCAAAAGATTTTCTTTTTTTTTTTTTTTTTTTTTTTAGACGGAGCCTCAAGCTATCCCCCTGGGTAGAGTGCCATGGCATCATGCTCACAGCAACCTCCAACTCCTGGGCTCAAGCGAGTCTCCTGTCTCAGCCTCCCAAGTAGCTGGGACTATAGGCGCCTGCTACAATGCCTGGCCATTTTTTGGTTGCAGCCATCATTGTTGTTTGGCGGGCCAGGGCTGGGGATTCGAACCCGCCACCTTAGGTGTATGTGGCTGGCGCCTTAGCCGCTTGAGCCACAGGTGCCGAGCCGACCAAAAGATTTTCTAAGTTGTTTATTTTGATTAGATGTGGCATAAATGCCACACGTGCGGTGCTCCTAAACTTTCCCAGATTTGAAATTTAAATTTGTCTGTAAAGGTATTTACTGATCATCTGGAACACGGAACTCTTATTTTGCTGAAGAAAAACTATTAAACTATTACCATTCTTCCCAAGGGATGCTCTTGGAAGGGGGGAGGCAGGGAAAAGAGTGATTTTCTTATTCAGATCCTAGAAGAAGCACTTCTCAAACTGAATTTTCGTAGCAAGACAGAAAAAAAGTGGGCTTTGCACATTCAAGTTCTTCCTAGATGCCAGCCGCTACCCCATGTCTGGCAGAGCTGTTATAGGACATGCAGAGAGATCAAAAGAGTCCAAACATTCAGCCAACATCCAAAGGCCAGAATCCAAGTTCTGAAAACAGGGGTGCATATCTGTCTAGCCAATGAGAGGATGCTCTGTAGAAAAAGCCTGAGCAAACAGTCATCTTCAGGCTCCAAAGCAACCAGCAGCGAAACCCAATTCCACATGCAAACACACTCTCCACTGCAACGTGGAAGGAGACTTGCCTTTTGGAAGGATTTAAGGAAATGACCATCTTGCTGCAAGGGAAAGAAGAAAAAGAGGTGGAGGCAACTACCCTTGCCGTGAAGGTTACATAACAGCGATAGCCTGCGTGGAAATTCTTAGAGGAACTTATCCAGGTAGAAGAAAGAGGCTGTGGAAATGGCCAGTTGTTTTTACATCCGTGATTCTTACCAAGAATTATTCCCCAAACATAAATGCTATTTTAAATTCTTCTTGTGGAATGATAGGCAGATTTTAATTGTGACATACAGTTTACTAATCTTCATCCTTAGTAACGTACAGGTTGAGCATCCCTAATCCGAACATCGGAAATTCTCCAAGATGGTGCCACAAGTGGAAAGTTCCACACATGATTTCCTGGGACAGGTTGCAGTCAAAAGCAACCAAACCGTCTTTCGTGCATAAAGCTATTAAAATATTTTATAAAATTACTTTCAAAGTTACGTGTATAAGGCATATAGGAAACATAAATAAATTTGATGTTTAGTCTTGGGTCTCATCCCCAAGATAGCTCATTATGTCTATGCAGATATTCCAAAATTTGAAACACTCCTGGTCCCAAGCATTTTGGATAAGAGATACTCAACTTGTACTGAGTTATTGAGGTTTACCAAAATTTGGTATACATAAAGCAAAAACAGCATGTTTCCTATGGAATGTGGGAATTCTTTTTCCAGAATAAATAGGTTTCTGTCAAAAAATGTTTGCAAACTCCAGCTTTAGACAATTCTTTGGTGATCTATCAGTATCTATCCAAAGCTAAGCATTAATGTTTTTCAGAGTTCAGGGGGGATATACTTGGATCATAAGGCTCATTTCAACATGCTGCAGGCAAAGCTCATTCATTAGACAACACAAAGCAGGTGAGATGAAATGCAAGTCAATATTTTGCCTTTTAAAATATTAGTGCTGGATTTTCACAACAGAGTGCTGGAAAAGGTAAGCGATTTGCCAAGAAAGGCCCTCCTCAGCCACGTCAAAAGGACTCCAGGGTAGGTTGGCAGGTGGCATCTTAGCATGAAATTAACACTCACCCCACCCCCAAATCTTGATTTTTAAATATGTTATGGGAAGAAGCCTTCCTTCATTTGATCCTTGAACTGTTTAATGGATTTTGTCCCTAGTAGTTGAATTGAAAAAAAAAAACAAAAAACCCAAAACAACTCTCACATCTGCTGTCTTTCTTGGGAAAAGCCATATTCTCTTTGACGAGGTCTTTGAACACTCTCAAGACCCAAGAGCAGAAAATGTGCCTCTGTTATGCTCTGAGATATTATGCGTGCCACTCACTCTAGTCTTTAGAAGAAAAGGGGCAGAATCCAGTCCAAGTGCAGCAAAAGGTAAATCTTCTCACTGTCCAGTTTCACCCAAGCCAAGACACTGGCTGCATCGGAAGTGGTGGAGTCTTAAAACTTGCTCTAAAAATAAAGCGCCTGGATCTTGGCCACCATCTTAAAGCTCTTCCTCTCTAGGCCCTCTCCCCATAAATGTCAACTGTGGCTGTCAGTACATTTAGCCTGAAAATAAAATCCCCTCATTTCCATCAAGAAATAACTCCAAACTTAGAGGGCAAGCTCAAAATATTCATGATGAAATCATAATCCTATATTTATAGTCTTTTGGATTGCGCATGAAATTCTGTTTCCCAGGGTGGTTTTCATCAAAGCGGGCTGAGAGGATGACCGTGAGGGCATTAGCTGCAGGGGGATACTGTCCAGCATCTTCCTCAACCGGTCAGTTGCAAAGCATCCTCCCTCTTCCCTGCACCCCACCAGGTGGCTGATGAGCTGGGTCTCCCCGCTGCCCCAGTCTCAGAAGGTCCCCTTGTTTGATGGCCCTGTCTTGCCCTCCTGGAGAGTGAGCTGGCCTTCCGAGCAGGAAGTGGGGTAGGCACCTACGATTGTCCCCCCTTCCTCTGCACCTTCCCCGCCCTAGACTTCCTCCCCGTTTTCACTGAGGGAGATGGTGTGGACCTTAATGGTTGGAACTTGGTGGTTCTCTCCAAGGCTAGGGGTGGAGGGCCCCATGCAGCAGCAGACCTGTAGAAAGCTTTTGCTTCTCACCCGAGCTGTGGTGCAGGCTGATTGGTCTTTGTGTACTGTAATCCTGGCAGATCCACGGGGCACGGAAGAGAAAAGTTTCCATTCACAGACCCCATCGGTCTTGGAGATCCTGTAGAAAGTCTCTCCCGATCCCACCGGGAGGCGCACGGTGTCCTTGTGCTGCCTCTCCACGGCATGGGCATGGCTGGGCGCGTGGAGGGTGTAGCCCTGGGTGTGTTTTGAAGACTGCTGCCTGCGAAGACACTGGATCCTCAGGACGTTCTGAAAGGCCTTTTTGAACTCTTGACTGGAGCAGGGGTATATGATGGGATTGATGCAGCTGTTTAGGTAACCGAGCCAAAATACGATTTTAAAAACTGTTTCCGAGGGCTTGAAGTCGGGGAAGAAAGACCCTGGAAGAGAACACACAGATGTAGACAGTTTGTAAGACATCGGGACAATTGTCTAGGAAAACAACCACATGTATTTTTATGTCTTTAAGAAGTTTAAATGATTCCAACCCATTTGAGTTTTTCACACTTGACTGATAAGCTTTGTCATCTCCTCAAAGATCCTTCCTTCCTCTGTCTAAGTGAGGACCATCAATTTTGGGGTACCGATTTTTGGTATTAGAGTATCCCTTGATGGGTGCTGTGAAGGGTTAAAAAATGAAAACATGGAATTTAGACTGTGTCTGCATATGCAAATTGTCTTGCCTGAATTTAAAATAAATCAGAGCCCATTTAAATAATCCATAATCATATTCGGTTATCTGAATCCACCTTTTTTTCTCTGATGCAGTTTATATAGACAAAGCCTAAATTTTTTTTTTTTTTTTGGACCGGGGCTGGGTTTGAACCTGCTACCCCCTGTATATAGGGTGAGTGTCCTACTCCTTTGAGCCACAGGCACTACCCTCAACCTAAATGTTTTGAATCCCTTTCCTCTTGAATATCAGAGTTGTGTATTTTGATAAGAATTCCAAACGTACAAAATATTGGCATTGCCAACTTTTGGCCAGTGATTCTCAACCACTTCTCCTAGGTGGTGTTTTTTGATGGTACAGTCTGCTTCCCTTCTCAGTAGCCCCTGCTCATGCCCAAATACAGAGGGTGCCAAAAACAAGTATATACATTTTAAGAAAGGAAAAAACACATCAAAATTGTCATACACAATATATACCAATAGCAACATAATACAAGGCAAGTTTGACTTCTGCTCTAAGTGGTCGCCCTCAGTGTCCAGATACTTGTGAATGGAGTGAATTACAGTGAATTACAGTCACCACAGTGTCCACTTGTGTCCCTGACGTGCTGCCATTGTGGCTGGTTTTCTGTGGTACACCATGTCCTTTAAGGTCCCTCCTACTCACGCCCCCACTGTTGCATTTCCACAATGTTCTCAAATTTCAGGTCCCACTTTAAAAGGGTCTTGCTGTGCCTTTGCCATTTTCCTTGATTATCCTGCCTGTCACATGGTCACACTAGCATTCATTCCATTAATGCCATCTTTTGAGCAAACACCACACCACACATTGCTACCATAATTTAACTCAGCTTCAAAAAGTAATACAAGGATGATATCACTTAAAATGTACAGGCATGTTTTGGCTTCCCAGGTATCTGTCAATTGCTTGACATTCAGGGTCCTCCTGATCTAACCTGCTCTGTGACATTCTTGGTTATTATTCTTTTACTTTAGCCAGACTCACTATGTAAATTGTCTCCAAGTCACTGGTCATGATTTTGTCCCTCAAGTTGGGCTACTGTGTCTTCATTGCCCTCTCCTGTCTTCTCTTCCTTCCCAAGTCCCACCCATTGGTCTCACACAGCAGCAAATGGGCTTCAGATCTTTTCACACCCTACGTGGTGACTGTCACAGAGCTCTTGGCAGCAAAACCGTGGAGCCTTGAAGTGGGAACAATCCTAAGGATTATCTTACCTAATTACCTAATTTTCAAATTAAAAGTGCTTGTTAAAGAGATTTTCACAAACTTGATAGTGATATCCTGACAAAGTAACAGAAAGGAATTTAGAACTTCCAGTCCAATGTTCTTTATCCTCTGATCTTCAGACTTCTAGCAGTTTTCAGCAAAGGTCATTTATAAGTTATGAAACCCCAAATGTCCCTCCTCGTGCCAGTCCAAGATAACATTCAACTTCCCTTTCACCTCTACTTTTCTTTCTTCACTCTCAAATTCCTAATCCTTCTTCCATGGCTTTGTTGTCAGAGGTCTGTGAATACTTGATGGATTGACTATGGGTTAAGTCCCATTAGCCCTTTGGGCCTTGGTTTTCTTATCTGGAACTGGTTTAATGGTGGATAATTTCTTCTTCCCTCCCTCTCTCCCTCCCTCCCTCCCTTCCTCCCTTCCTTCCTTCCTTCTTTCCTTCCTTCCCTCCTTTCTTCTTCAAGGTCTCTTTCTGTTTCCAAGGTAGAGAGCAATGGCACCATAATAGCTCACTGCAACCTCAAACTCTAGGGCTCAGACAATCCTCCTGCCTCAACCTTCATGTGCACACCACCACACCCAGCTAATTTTTCTATTTTTGGATAGGATCTCATCATGTTGCTCAGACAGGTCTTGAACTCCTGGCCTCAAGCAGTCCTCCTGGCCTTGGCCTCCCAAAGTGCCAGGATTACTGGTGTGAGCCACCAAACCTGACCTCGAATGGGTTATTTTTAATGGCCCTACACAACATTTTTCTTTTGTTTCAGTCTATGGTGTTAATTTTGTGCCTTTCCTTTCCTCTCTGCTCTGTGGGCCTATCAGAGTCATGACAAATGGGTGGTGCTCTTAAAATCCACTCTGGCAAACATGCCGGAAAATTTAGGAGACGATCTCAAAAAATGTGAGCTGAGAGTAAACTCAAAAACCAAACACTAAAGAACCCAAAGAAGACAAAATAGCATGGTCATTGATGGGAGTGTTCCTTGGCTATGAAGCACACTCCCTCTTAGGTTCCACGTGTCTCAGAACACACAGACACACACACAGATTATGGGTGTAAAATGTGTTAAGTGAGAAAGTTCTAATCTTTAGCTTTAAAGCTTTTAATGTTGTGCTATCATTATAATAATGTTTACAGTCTTTGTGTGCCTGGTGGGAGCAAGGCACGGTGTTAACCCTTTTACATACAATCTGATCATTGTTAGTAACAGGAAGAGTTATATGACTCTTGTCAATATCCCCATTTATCCCCATTAGGGACTGTGCTTTCGAGGGTGAATAACACAACCAAGGTCACTCAGCTACGTAGTTAGAGGCTGAGCTGGGATTTGAGATTGGGCAGTCTGATTTCAAGGTTTGTGTTCTTCTATGGAATCTCCAAACATATTGGAATAATGCATCTCTTGGGAGAAAGGCTGGCATTTGGGGAGTGATGAAGTGTGCAGTTGGGGCCAGCTGAGTTGGAAAGACGCTTCTGTGAACCTCATCTGAGAGGGGGAGAAAATGGTGAATAATATCATTGGGAGTGGTGGTTTTGGGCAGAGGTGGTTAGTTCCCCCCCCAATCATCTCACATTATAATGCCCGTATATTGTCTGATATTTCTTCTTAATAGTGACAGTGACGAGATTAAAGGAACCCATTTCACAAAGGCCTGCCGGGGCTGGTGCTTAACAACTATAAGAATGTATGAGCCCAACATACCAGAAGCTACCTTGTCTGAAAATTTCTCTGCCCTGGAAATCAGCTAGGGAGGTAAGTGTATTTTCCTTATTTGAAGAATTTCAATTAAAAAACATCTCTGCTTGGTGTGGGCTGGGGGCACTGCCCACTTTTCCTGGGACCGTGGTTGCTGCTGTAAACGGTGGATGTGAATACTAATATGATTTGAGCGCCTTGGAATTTCCCACAATTCCTTCAAGGCCACTTATTCTGCTCACAGAGCCCGATTTTGCTCTCATAAATCTCAACATTTCCTTTAAGCCACCTCTGTCTTTCCCTGCCTGCCCCCTTAACTCCAGGCCTGGCCGACACAGAGCCAAGCTCCCGGGCTCTCTCTCTGCCGCAGTTGCATCTTCGAAGGCAAACACTGGCCTCTGTCCCTCTGTGTGCCCACTCCAAACACTCATTTCTTCCCTGGGGCTCAGGCACAGGGTGAGAAAGAAGGGTTGCTTAAAACTTATTAATAGAAAGACTCGAATGTCAGGTGGTGCCCAGCCTTAACCCTTCTCAGATATTTTCTTATTCAAGCAAATCTCTAGAGGTCAGCTTTTCAGACTGGGATTGGGAGATGTTTCTGGCTAGAGACCTTTCTGTAAATGACATTTGGTTGATCCCATTAAGTATCTGACAACACCTAGACATGTGCAAGCCTGGCACAGGTTGGCCCACTCCAGACCTGACAATTCAATGGGGCGGCAGGGGGCAGGTCACAGGATCCGGTTCTCCTTCTTGGAGTGTTCCTCTTCCCTTGGACGGGGAGCCAGGAGATTTTCTCTGAGCAGCTGCTGGTTGGCTGGGATTAGGAGAGATATTCATAGCTGCACTTCCACTGGGAATGTTCCAGAGTACGGGAAAAGACCTGGAAACGCTGTTTCTCTTCTTATTTATGTTATTCACATCCTTGGATCTCTTCCTTCCCTCCATGTTTCTTCTCCCAGGGAGGGGATTTTGAGCTGGGATCAGGCTTGGGGAAGAGCTTCCTGGTCCCAATCATCTTGCCTCTTCTCTGGCCAGACCTCCTCATTTGGGCACTCTCAGCTCCCAGCTGCCCACCACTTCTGTCCCCGCCTCCCTTTCTTCTCAGATCCCTTTCTTACTGTTGACTGAGGACACTTCCCAGGGTGAGGGACAGCTGGGGTATGCTCTGCCCAGGCCTCCACCCATGTCAGTGGAGTGCCGGGGCGGAGTCAGCCTGGTCTGGGGGAGAGTGCTCAGACACCGTCACTAGGTTGTGACCTCCATTTGAGCAGGTACCAGGCCACCTTTGCTCACTCATGGAGATCCAGAGCCCCGTGCAATGCTGCACTCATAAAGGCATTTGCCCGGTTTTTGCTGAATGGACGGCTGACCTGCCTGAATGACTGAATGAGTGAATGAATGACTGATTGGGTCTGATGAGTCTCCACCTCCCATGGTTCTGCCTCACTCTGTGGCTTGGTTTTCTTCTCGGCCTGACAGCTGTAGCCCCGTAGTCTCTCCCTGACCCTGCCCTCCTACTGTTGCCTCACCCCCTGGTTCACTGTTTCCATTCAATCTTCTGGTGTTTCCTGGTATTTCACCATCGCTTTTCTGGGCCGCATGATATGGTGGCTAACACTCTAGTTGCCTTCATCATGCTTCACAGGAAGAGCCAGACTCCAGAATCACCCACAGGAGAATAGGGGCCCTTACAGCTTTGATTGTTGCCGCTGTGTTTTGCTTAACAACCTCCGCCCAGATTCGGCTTTGAGAGAAGCCAACA